AAGGAAGAAATGACTACCATTGCAATAAAATTTCCAGATTTGTCTGCATAGTTCTCGAAATATAGACGCTCAAAGTAACGTAGCCTATGCTAAGCGAAATAAATAAACTATATTGCAAAATATTGTCTAAGAAGGTGCAGTGCATTGCATATGATTCCCTATCTTCAACATGTCTAGTATTCACTGTAATGGACATTTGCTTTCTCTTCAAATACTAATGTATTATTAATTTCTCTTTTATTAATTTTTAGAGATCATAGTTGATTTCTAGTACGTTTCCTTAAATTAATAAGAATTTGCTAGTTTTATTTTTGCTAATTACATTATTAAAATATATTCTTAACAATTCAGAAATTAAATTTTTTAGACATAACATAATCAATTCCATTCAATTTATCGCTTCATGGTCAATCACGCGATGCCTATGGATTGTCCTATTATTCGTACCAAATAATAATACCGAGTCGTAACTTTGATACGCCATCTCATTTAGTAACTTCCTCATCGCGTTACTAATTGGATGATTGGGTAATTTAAGGAATTGAGTAATTTAAGGAATTATTGTAGCAGGTTTTAAACCGCGGGGTCACCCAAAGGTAAGTTTTGCGGTGCCCTCTCCTTTTTGAACATACGTTTTTTATGCATACGCAAAATAATACAAATTAAATCCTTGAGTTATACTTTGAGGTAGCTCCATAGCAGAGAGACAACGCGTGGAATAAGCATGGTAAAGAATGCATTCGCATTTTTCCGTACACTTCGAATTTTTAATTCAGATAAAATGTTTATAAATACATTACAAGTTTATGAGACAGATTAAACTACTTTTTAATACCGCAAAAACTTTCCAGTTATAATTCGAAATTTTGTTGACGAAAGTATGCGAAATAATGTCTGATCTAATAAGACTTTTACATTATATATTACCAGTTCGTGGCTGATAATTTTGTATAACAGTGCAGGACCAATTTTCCCAGGTTACGAGCTAATATCTCTTCTTTGTTTGCTTTCGCGATGGAGACACTTGCATACGTGGGATATATTGATCCGGTTGGCTCATAAAACGCTGCAGAGAATGCGATTTTAACGCCAAATCAGACCATCCGTGTTTATCCCTTTGCAGAAGCAACAACATCCATGTTTGACCCTTTGCATAAACAATTCTCTCATTTACTGAAAGACAGCGGATAAGAATATCAAAATACATCTTTGAGGACTGCAAAATATCCTCGCTATCATCTCAGCAGAAAGAACTAGCCGCACGGAGTGAATACGTTACAGGTCTAAATAAACAGAAAATAGTATTTCTATGTATTAAAAAATGAGAGTCCGTTATAATACAATACAAATATACAAATACAAATATACTATGAATTAGAAGAACATCATCTACATTGTAGCGTCGTGAACAAGAAGAATGAGCAAACATAATTCATATTCAATCGCATATCAATTGAACCTTAAAAACTGTGTGGGAAGCAATGTTGTCTTCGAAAATAACATACTGACCAGTTTGATTATATGAAGACATAGGCTTCCGCGACCAGAGTCATGTGGGTGATCTGGGCTGTCCGGGTGACGCCGCGTCGAAGGCTGAGTTGCCGACGTTTCGACCATCCTGTCGTGGTCTTCCTCAGAGCTGGTATGCGCATACCAGCCCTGAGGACAGCCCAGATCACCCAGTTTGATTATATGTTTCTTTAGTAGTAATCGATGAGTTAATTAGAAGGACGTTTCATGATACAATCCGCCAAAATACCAATTTAACTCCATCTGAGTTCTCTTACTGTAAAGTTCATTTAGCAAACAATTACTTGAACGTTAATTGTCTACTGTTCGCAGTTTTTTATCCGAAAATTAAATTTAACAAGTGCCTTAATCTTCTCTGAGAAAGCGTTTAATTTTATTGCTTATACTTGCATCGGTGCAATTCAATTTGCTGCTCAAGCTTCAGTTATTATCGACTTTTGTGGTGTTCATTCTGTAAAAGTTGATGCTCATTTCAATTCTTTCACATCTGCAAATATTACCCCAATGAATAAAACGATTTTCTCTTGAAGTATCTTTGGTGTGCTAAATCCTCACCAGCTTTTCGCTCTTTCGTACGCGACTGATTGAATTTTTTCATCGTCCATGTGTTTACAGAATCCACACAGCTCAGGGGGAATATTCCATCTGCAATTGTGGCTTTAATGACTGACGATACGTCTTGTTGTCGATGACTTGACCACAACAGTCTCCTACGGTCATTTTATGTTGTGCTCTGGAAGTATGCGTTTTCCACCTCCACCATCTCACTTTTGCTGGTCCTCTGTGCAAACGTTCCGCGAAAAATAAGCATCGCTAAGCAATACACATTATATATATCGACCCTTGCCATGCTAGAGCTGCTCTCCCCTTACATGCATGAACCCACCATCACCTCCTCTACCTGAGAGCCAGCGTCATCACCGAGACGGACACATAGCAGGTTTTTTCAGAGGTATCCGCTTGCATTCCATGACTGCTAAATCATTCATGAATTAATTAATTTATATTTCGTGTTTTAAGTTACATCAAAAACTCGTACATTATTTCTGTGAGCGAAGTGCTGAGCTGGGAGGAAGAATCGTTACTTTTCTTCCAGTACGTGAGATCCGGCGCCTACATACACGTCAGATCACTGTTTTCCACTCCATTTATCTCCACCACGAAGGCATTGCGTCCTCAGCGATAAGCTCAGAGATCCCGTCTGATCTCTCTTTGTGGGTGGTAGTGTAAAGCATTACGGCGTGTGTATGTGGTGTGTGTCAGGGAAGAGGAGGGACGAGGAAGAGAAAGGGAAGATCGCACGCGGTAGGTGGCCCATTTGTTAGGAAAGTACTCGGCCATTTGCCTGGTGTTGATCGGAGAAGCCACGGAACATACATAACCTTTCACCATGTTATTCTAAACTGTCCATTTACTCAATCATTGATATCATTAGCATCAATCAATTTTTCACTTTGCTAATGGCAAACTATTTCACACTGCTTCATGTGAGAGCCACCCCTCCTTTCCCTCGTGTCAGCCGCAGCGTGTGAGTGTGGCGCGCCGTCCGCACCGCCACTTGTTGCCTGGCCCGCCGCCGCCGCCGGCCGCGC